TTATATAATATTAATATGAGACAAACGCTTTATTCTAGTCGGGGGAAGGATTCCTCCATTAGATCTTGCCGGAAGAAGGAGGAGATTTCTTTGCCCTTGACAAATAATCTTTACTACCTTTGAGAGCGGGCCCCTGAACAAATGTGCAGCAAATGATTTCGCTGCAGTTACTCCTCCACTTACTTCTTCTTGGCATCAAAGAAAGCTGCCCTTTATTCCTTGCATCAACAAGGCAATCCCGCATAAAGAAAGGCTACTGACTTGGCTGATTCAACAAGGAGGGAGGCATCCATTCAAACTGCTCCCATTCCTATGTTGACACAAAGAAAAAGGAAGGAGGGGGCTTTCTTTCTATCGATTACTTTGAATAATCATAAAGGCTTACTAAACCAGCAAGATATGAGTCATAAAGATCACATCTCCTTGAAGTACAGCGAGGAAACCTTCTCGTTGCTGATCCTGCAAGAACCGCTACCGCCATCGACTCTATCTTAACGTCTATCTTAACGACCGGTAAAAGCAAGCCCTCTTTCTAGGATATGTCACTGCTCGGGGAGGAATTCATTCTTCTCCAAATCACCTCTTCCTTTGTTTCAATTTGAGAAAGAAGTCAATTTATCCAGATTCAAGTTAACCTAATAGTTAATAGTGCAGCGGATTCTCTAAGATAGAAGGAATTTGATTGACATCCCAATGAGAAATGAGAAAGAATAGGATATATATAAAGGATTTAATCCAGTCTCAAGCCAACTTTCTTTACCGGATCTTGAGAGGTCTGCCCGTCCGGTGAGAGAATCCACTTATTTAATCCTTTTCAATAAAACTTCGTTAGAATTATACTGCAGGGATTTGCTCAAAAGCAACTTTCTAGCAGCTTTCCATGCTTATGACACTTCCTATGATTGATTCCTTACTATAGAATAGAAAACAAATATAACATTTTAGTCACTAGATAAATAAGACTTTGAGATTGATCTTTAGTCATATTCATTCATGTTAAAGTCATGGGTTATCCGTTAGTCTTCTTTTCAGAGTATATGCTACCCTGGTATTCCACTATATTAACTCATAGAAAGTGAAGCGTATAGTTAAATTTTGGTAAAAGCGGGGCAACCACATTTCTTTCTTCTTGCTCACTATACCTTGATTGACTATCATGTTTGCAACACTATTGTTGGTATCCGTAGAGCTGGAAGAGAGAACCTGCCTCAGATCTACTCTTTTTTTGAGGAACTTAGTAAACGGACCTATAAACAAAATTCGGTAGAACTACATTTGGGTCTGATACCAATACTATTTCCATCATTACTATAACCAACCTTAGAAGATCTCATTTTTGATCTTGAGTAGGTTATGTAGGCACTCGGCCCTACTCGGGGATAGCAATTGGAAATGGCGGGCTCGACCTTTGACCAAAAATCAAATTAATGAATGAAACAGCTGATGGCGGCGGCTAGAAGGGATTGCTATACCAGCGCAGCCAGACCAGATTCTATAATGAATTGAATATAGAAAAGCTAACGAACTTAAGGAAGAAGAGCCAGTTAATGCAGAAATTTCCTTAAGGATCGCAGTGTAATAGCGACTAGCGGACCCACCCCCCCGCAGTCAAAATCATTATCCCTTGGAATTTCCATCTTTGAGTTCTTCTGGAAGACCTCAAGTCACGGCTTCCCACCCACCCAGTCTTAGTGGAATCGCTAAAGTATTAAAAGAGCTAGTCAAAGAGCTAGTCAATTAGTTCAGTCTTATTATTCCGGCAGTCACTTAGTGCGTCTTCCTTTTAATCAATGGAAAATACAAGACAATAAAAAACATGGTTCTATTATGTTCATCTTACACCGATGAAAGTCAAATCAAATAGAAAAGAAGATTATTCTCAAAATGAGCTTAATCAGCGGACTTCCCAGCGCCAACAGGAGCCTACAAATTCAAGATCTATTATTCCTAATAATCTGACTCTTAGTTCGTTAGGGGTCAAAATGAGAGGCCATCATAACAAGCCTATGATGAGGAGTAAAGTCTTCTCTACTCATACCCTTCCTGGAACTGATAGCATCTCCCTCCCCTCTGAATGAATTGCTGCTGGATTTGAGACCGGCACGAGTTGGTCATACAAGTTGCTCAGCTAAGCCCTTCACAGGTGATGCATCAACATCTTATAGTCAATCTCATTCCACAATTCCTTCCTCCATTATTCTTAGGATATCTTTTTTGGGACCAAATCCCTCTCTCAGAGATAGGTAGAAGTTTTCATAATATCTATGAAATGATAGATTTGTTAAATATTAGATCTACGCCTATGTAGAAGATAATCGTGTGTCAGAAGAATTCTTTGATGCGCCTGAGTAATTATCTTCAAGTGAAAAGGCATCATTGGTAGGCGGACAAGCGAGCATTCCTGTGGCATTGGGAATAGGTAATCGCAGTGAATCGGGCAATTCGTTAAAGGATATCCGTATAATGACTACCTTTTCTGAAACCATACCGCTCCTCTCCCTCTTGGTCTCGTGGCTTTCGCTCCTCTCCCTCTTGGTCTCGTGGCTTTCGCTCCTCATTTTGATTCTGGTCTGGTAAAGGGTGGGAATCAGTCCACGAATGAGTTCCTTCTTTAAAATCTCTCCGGTTTACACCAAGGCATAGTAGCTTGTTTATGTCTGATTAACCTCAAGGCGCCTTTTAAAGAAAACAGGGCGATCACGCACGCATCCATATAACTCTGTCTTCTTGCTCACTGCTCAAGGGCCTTATGGCTCTGATACACTCCCCCATTTCTTGCCGATCTTGATTTGCAACTGCAGGGGGGGGGGGACCATCTGGAATTATGAATTAGAAAGTCGCTACTTTTTCACTTTGACATTTTTGGGAACACACCAGACTCCCCTATGATTCACCATACATACCTTTACACTATAGAACCGATAGGCAGCCAAGAGTCATACCAGAGAGATGTATTGGTTCCATTGCCAACATCATGTATAATAAATATCTCTTATAGCCAACTCTCTCAACACCTGTCAAACTTTCCTACAAACCCAGCTACCATTATTTGGTGGGTTTAATACACCAACAAAATGCTCCTATTTTTTAGAAGCATTCTATGTATATCCTAAATAGCTGCACCAATCAAGCACCTTCTTTTCATTTCAAATAAATAGGTAAAGGGCCAAGCTACATTCCCTTTGAACCATATCAGGACCTGACCATAAGAACCTTCCGCAGATCATCTTATCAATTGTCTTCAAATCAAAACAAAAACCCTGGAGTATGAACACAGTACTCAAGTAAACACTTTTATGCTAAGGAGGGCACCCTGAACCTGTTGTACAGCATATTAGAGGGCTTTTACAGTCCATCTCTATACTCTAGCTTTGATTCTCTCAATTAGAGGCAAACAATCACTAACAACTGAGAGACTGGCAATCCCAGGTACTTCATTGGCATTTTACCTTCATTGAAGCCAATTAGATTTTCAATATTTCACTTTGCAGCATCAGACAGAAAGATCTCCATAGTAGATTGGACTCTTGGATATGCAGTAAGAACAGAAAGATTTTGGAATTCTTTTAAGCATTGATTGACCACAGCAAATCCTTCTCACGAACTAGAAATTTAGCAATCAACTGAGTGGCTTTCGCTCCTCTTGCTATGGTTCGAGCAGCTTTCACTCGTTCGCCTCGTAAACTCGGTCTCGTTGCTTTCGCTCCTTGGTTTATTGTCTATCGACACCTTTTTCTTTTGAATTCATTGATAGAGCTTTTGGAGCAGATGTAAAGCACTAGATTCTTCAACAAGTACCAAGAAGAAATTCATTCACCAGACTCAGAGAAGAAAACAGAACAAAAAGAGTCTTAGCTTAAGCCCAGCCGCCTCCAGGAATTCATCGGGAGGAAGAGCCCCAAGGGCGCCATATTCTAGGAGCCCAAACTATGTGATTGAATAAATCCTCCTACATCTGTTGCGGGTCGAGGACTACGGAACCTTTGACTCTATTACCTGACCGGAACCAAAGCTTAATGAGAGAGTGAGAGTTTACAGTTAAAGAAGAAAAGGAACGACATGAAAGAAAGAAAGACAAGATGAAACAAAAGAAGAATGAGACTGAACAGGAAGGGCTGAAGAAGAAGAAAATGAAACTAGAATTATCCGTCACCTATTTCTTCTTTCAATGAATGAAATCAGGGAGACGAAAGCAAGATTAACGATCCTGAACAGTGTTTGAAGGGAGAGGAAAGCCGAAAGATGAATGGAATGAGAGTTTACAGTCTTTGAATAAATGAAGACGCTACTGAACCGATATGACCTTCTTTCACTCTAAAGCTATTATGTATGATCCGGAACAAGAGAGTCAATGAATGAGCTACTGAACCGTAACCTGATCTTCTCTTTCTCCTTATTAATCAAGTGTTGAAAAGAAAGCCGAAACTCCTACTTCTGGAACTCTGCCGGACCAAGAATTAATTTATTCTATCCTATATAGGGGTCAAACCTTGTCATAGCTTTTTCCCTAACAGCTTCGGCTGAAAGAAAAGAAATTCTATCTAGCATATGGGTAAAACAGTAAAAGGGGTTTTCCCTTAAGGAAAGCAGCTTCAATAAATTATTTTCTATCTAGCATAGGGGTAAAAGTTCGTAAGACCTTTTTCCCTTAATAGCTGAAGCTTAAATCAAATAAATTCTATCTTTCCCGTGTTTTTGGGGTATTTCACTTTTTCTCTTAAGGAAAGCTGCTTCAAGAAAAGAAATTCTATCTTTCCCGTATTTTTGGGTATAAAAGTCTATCTTTACCGTATTTTAGGGCAGAAAATGGATGCTTTACCCTTTTTTCGGGATCAAAGTCTATCTTTCTCGTATTTTAGGGTATAAAAGTGTATCTCTCCCTTATTTTGAGAGAGAAAATCGATGTTTTCCCCTATTTTTCAGGATAAAATGGATGCTTTACCCTATTTTTTGGGATCAAATCTAGGTATTTTGGGCCGAGGTAATTAAGAAGTCAAGACTCTCTCTTCATTCTCCTGTAAACACGACTTATTCATTCAATCCTTCACTTTACAGTCAGTCGGTAAAAGAAAAGAGATGAATTAGACTCAACCGAAAAAGAGCTAGCTACTTCACCTTCACCTATCCTTTCTTTACCTTAGCAGCTTTTCAATCCTCAATGAAAGATTCGACTCAACCTTAAACCTTTAACTGATTGAACCCGGTAAATAGGCTTTGATTCCCTCATTCTCCCTTCAATCAAACACTCTTTCTTCACAAGGTCAAGCTAGCACTAAGAAAAGGTCAGTCTTCTAATCCTTGTGGTCTCATTGCATTGCTCCGCTCCTCACCTCTCCTTTCTTGAACTGTAATGTAAACTAAGACCTCAAGAGTTTACGAACTGAACTCAATCACTTGTCTGTCCCTTTCACTCCTTTCCCTGTCGGTCAAGCTGCTTCGCTTGTTCACCTCGTAAACTCGGTCTCACTGCTTCGCTCCTACACCTATTTCTATTCCCGTCACCTATTTACCTTATTGATTAACCTTCCCTTTTTTCTTTCTTTCTTTCTTTCACAGTAAAGTGTCTGGCTTCGCTACTTCTCTTTCTCTTTCGATACTAGCCGAGATTTTCATTCCTCTTTCAGAATCTTATCCCAAAACCATGGAATACAATACCCTTACTAATTCCAATTACTTTACTAAGCCCGGTAAATCACTTTCAAAACCCCGGGCGGTAGGGAAGTGACTGAGTCTAAAGTACTTTTTGACTTGTACTTTTTGACTTGTACTCTAAAGGGTATGATTTTGACTTGTACTCTAAAGGGTAACAATGTGTGGGGAGTACTTTTTCATCATCTAACTGTGATTTGATGATGACAAACCACTGAAAGATACAGAACCATCAATGCTCTTACTTACTGAAGGACAAAGAAGGACCTTAGAGGTAATCTCAGATTCTCGGGAGAGGGATCAACATAGCAAGATCGAGTTCAAGAGTGTTTGAAGGAATCTTTCGGATTTACTTACAGTTAAGTCTCATTGATTCTTCTTGAGGATTGACTGTTTCATTACCTTGACTCTCTTTTCTCCCTAAAAATAAGGGAAGGGTAGACTTTGATCCCTAAAAATAGACATAGGATAGGATCATTCTAGTTTCTTGAGTGTTTACAGTTGAGTTCAAGAGCGAGACCGAGAGGAGTCAAGTTCGGAAACTAGAATTCATCATTCGGGCAGTCTTTCTTAGTTTACAGAGTGAATAAATTAGGATAGATAATTAAGAGAAGAGGAGAGCGGCCAAGCAAGCAGTGAGACCAAGAGGGGGAGGGGCTCGAGCGATAGGAAGAAGGAAAGACCACCACCCTAAGAAAAGAAAAGGTTGATAAATGAAAGTTTCAACTTCTAAGCCTGGCATTTACAACACGCGTACATATTTATCATAGCCCAAAGAAACCGAGTAGTTATAAGAAGAATTACTGCGACACATAAGGGGTGCATCACCAGGTCCAATTGACTCAATTTGCCCGGCCAGGCCGAGTTTTTCCAATAGAGTCCCAACTTTTTCGTCGAAGATTACAGAATTATTTGAATGAGTCAGAATCTAGATAGAATCTATATATCTATAATATCTTATCGAAGAAAACCGTTTATGAAACTGACGATCGAGGTCCATTAACACAATATGGAATAAGACCCTATTGATATCACCCAATGGGAGAATCAACTTAGAAAGTTTGCATATATCAGCGTGATGATCACCATCATCAGAAATGATTTTGAGAGAAAGAAAGGATGAAATTAGGTCATAAACAGCTGAACCCTCACCAACAAGAGGCTTAACCTTCTCTAAAATCAGACTATTTGGAAGAATACGAAATGATTCCTTTAAGTCAAACTTGTAAAGTCTATTTACTGGTTCTTTTATTTCAAGGTTGTCATATAACTCTTGTTCCATAAAACAGAATTCGTTAATCATTTTACCTTTTCTTTGCTCGCGACCTGAAAGAATTAATAATAATCGGGATAACCCCCCAATAACAAGAAAGTATCCTCTTTAGTTGGAAGAACTGCAATCTTTAGATTCGATCAGAGGTATCCATTAAATCTGGCATATTCATGTAAGCATTATAATGAATATTAATATTCTAATTTCAATAATACTGAAAGATCTCGCATTTCTTTATTCATATTACTGAAAGCGGAGAGAGAACGTATCTACCAGAGAGTAGGATTTGCTTATTAATGATTTGCTCTATATTCTCTAAATCATCTTCATATTCATATAAGAGATTGTCAAGAATTGTAGATAGCTGCTGCAGTAATGGATCTTGTACTGTACTCAAATATCTTGTCAAAATGGTAGTAGATGACTGTATTCATTATTTTCTTAATTTGTAGCATGAGCATGAGGGACTATTCCGACCACTATAAAGAATGAAATAATAACACAAATACTTACTAACTTAAGAGCATTTCCGCTAGCAGGGATCATGATTTCGGCAAAAGGGTGTTCATTACCAATGATATGAGAGACCAAATCGGCGTTTGTTTCAAGAAAACTAATCTTTTGAAAGCCGGGTGCTGAATGCAAAGCATTAAAAAATGGATCGTACGAGTTAAATGGTGTGAACAAACCACCCTCCGAAGCACAATGGACTGAGCCACGCACAAACCCGTACCAAAGAGTACAACCAATACCAGAGCTGACCAGAACCAAGAAACGACCATAGCTACCATCACAATAAGTAATAACCTCTACCAAAATCAGATTTATGCTCTCGTTGACAACAAGACTACGCAAACCGGCCCCTGAACAGCAATAAGGTAACATAGAATCCAAAAAAGGAGGTAGGCTGCTATATTCTAAACCTAGGGCATTACTGAGAAAAGAGAGTCTATCAAAGGATGAAGGCAACTTCAAATCTTGTGTTAAGAAGTCAGACTGGCCTGGAAGAAAGCGAAAACCAAATCCCCTAGAGAATCCCACGATTTGTTATGGAATGATGAGAGTGTATCCGTATAACAACGAGGAAACTCTATAAAATGGGCTTTTAGCTGCTCTGTAATAGACTGGTTCCAAGGACTCCAACCAACTTGGTAAGAAACGCGAAATTTGACTAGACAACAAAGGCAGATTTGACGAAGACGAAGGTAAAGACGAAGACAAAGACAATGACGATGACTCACCCGTGTTATTCTCATTCTCATCCAATGATAGTCTACCGAACTCTTTACATAGATCAAACATTTTAACGTGTTCGATTGAAGATAATAATCTGTGCCACTCTAATCTTCTCATTGTATTCAAAAGGTTTTCATTGTCGGTTTACTAAAAAAAAGAGAACAGGAAAATGAAATTGCGGGAAGTGACTGAGTCAATCAAGTAGCGGATTCTCTTCTACGGATTCTAGTTACTCAAGCGGTAAAGAAGGGGGAGCATCCTATTTCTATTATTGCGCATTCCAGATCAAGTAGGATAGGATGTCAGAACCCGAGTCAGTATTGGTTATATTAGAAGTTAGACTTCCATCCTTCGATTATGAGTTCTATTTATGAGCACTACGAAGTCGGAAATAAGGAGAAGCCAAAATCCCTGTCCCCGTGAACTCACTATTGAATCATATCCTTATGAGGAAAAGCCTCTATATAGAATGAAGTCAGGGAGTTCCCTTCGTCTCAGGATTTCATTTAAGTCGAGTCAACCCGTAATCAGTCTAGGAGATGATCTTCTATCTAAGTTACCAGGGAGCTAGCTTGTAAGGAATGTAGCTCTTTCATCATTACCTTAGGGTAACCAAGTTTATCTATTTCGAGATGCTTTTAGTGTTCCGCTCAGTCTATTCGGCTTAATTCAGGGAAGGTTGAATCAGAGAGAAAGAGCAGCAATAAAGCTAACTCAATTTTTAGTACCTACTTCTCTACTCACCCTAACTCTAGAGAAATCCAATAAGCCTTAAGGCCATAAGCCTTAGAAAGAGGTAACGGACTGACTGATAGTCTTTGCTTGGTAAAGCCCTGTCAGTAAGGTAGGCAAAGTTCGACAAAAAGTGATACGATAAGGAATCAACTACAAGGAGAATAAGATTCGGATTACCTTGTTGATCGAATATCTCAAGGCAAGAACACTTGATTGAGATTCGAATCACTCCACAAGCAAGATCGATCATGTCTAGCTTGAATGATTCTTGTTGATCAAATATCTCAAACACTTGTTTGAGATTCGAATCACTCCACAAGCAAGATTGATCATGTCGAGCTTGAATGATTCTACATGCAATCTAAACTACATAGAATTGCAAAGAAACTCAGCCATTGGCTAAGAAAAAGCACAAATGCTTCTTTTAATATATTTTCCAAGTCTACCTTACAAATACAACATACATGGCTTTATATAGCCTCAAAATGAAAGCATTCCAAAAGTTGTAACATTCATACTTAATGACCATAATTAGCCATTATGTAAATGTAACCTATAAAGTAAATAAAATGTCTTAAAATACAATAACTCTAAATTACTCTAAATTGTAACCCACCCAAAATTTATAACCATCAAACTTCATTCCTCTTCAATGTGACATGAATTGCAACCTCTTTTGATAATTTTGACA